AGCTGGTTCCCCTCAGCATGGTCTCTGTGGGGAGACGGAGCAGGGACGCAGTGTGACGGCACTTCCGCCTTTGAAAAGTAGTAAGAGCAGAGCTCATACTACATTTCAAAAGCAAAGCACCTCTGCGAGTGTGGGGCCAGCAGGGGACTCAAACAGTCCACCATGTTAGGCATGCAATTTTTTTAACATGCAAATGAGGATGCAGTAAGTCTGCACAAAAATTAAGCAAAAGAAATTGTTTTGATAGGAAACCAAAGAGCATTGCTGCAACAGCAAACTAGGCATGGGCTGCATCTAGAGGGTTAAATACTATCCCTGAAAGACTGCATGTACAAATTTAATTAAGAGCAGATAATATGCCTGCAAAGAGCAGACTCTCATGTGGAGGTTACTCCCCTTGTGCAGTAATTGGAGATCTTCGAGATGGTGTCCCTGTGGATGCCCCATGTTGGGTCTTGGTGCCATCCCAGTACATAGATTGGAGATTTTGAAGCAGTCCATGCAGGGGCCACACGTGTGCAGCACCAACTGGTGTGTGCTTTCCAGTGGGCACCTCACATGCACGGCCTATGCCCTTCAGTTCCTTCTCTACCCCAGAGGACTTATAGGTCTGAAGCAGAGGAGAGGAGGGCAGGTTGTGGAGCATCCACGGGGACACCATCTCAAAGAACTCCAGTTACTACAGAAGGTGAGTAACCTCCGCTTCTTCTGAGAGAGGTCCCCATGGATGTTCCACACTGGGTGATTAGCAAGCAATATCGACATTCAGCGGCTGGGGCTTTGGAGTATAGCGGAAAGCTGATGATAAAATTGCAGAGCCCATGTAAGTTTCCTGCACCTGTAAGGAGAGCACATAGTGCTTAGTAAAGGTAAGTTGTAACATCCAGGTGGCTCCCGTGCAAATGTCTGAAAGTGGGACATTGCATAGGTATGCAGTGGTAGAGGATATGGCCCTAGGAGAATGAGCCGTCAGAGTTAAGGGTGGTAGTAGGCCCTTAAGGGAGTAAGAAAGCTTTATGCAGTCGGTTATCCATTTGGACAATCTCTGTTTCGATATGGGTTGCCCTTTAACCCATTTGTCAAACACCAAGAAAAGCTGAGGAGATTGCCTAAAGGGTTTAGTTCTCTGCAAGTAGAAAGTTAGCACACACATGATGTCGAGAGTGTGCATGGAAGCCTCAAATGCATTGCCATGTGGTTTTGGAAAGAATACAGGTAAGTTTAGAGGGTCATTTATATGAATCTGTCGTGAGGCAGGTAGGCTCTTACCGCCATGGACTTTAGGCAGGCTCCGATGAATTCAATCATCTGAGAAAGGTGGATAGATGACTTTTCCTAGTTTCTGCGAAAGCCCAACTTTTGAAAACAATGTATAGTTGTTGCTGTGACACGGACTGCCTCAGAGCGTGATGTGGCTTTGAGGAGGCAGTCATCAAGGTAAGGAAATATGATTATTCCCAAAGAGTGAAGGTGTGCTGAGGCAACAGTGAGCACTTTGGAGAAAATGTGAGGGGCCACTGACAGGCCAAACGGAAGGACCCAATATTGGTAGCAATGTGGGCCTACCGTGAACCTTAAGAACCTTCTGAGAGCCGGGTGTATGAGAATATGGAAATGTGGGTCCTGGAGGTCGTCTGAAAACCAGTCCCCTGGTTGCAATGCCGGGATAATCGTGGATAGAGTGACCATGCAAAAGTGTTGCATTTTGACTAACTTGTTGAGGTGGTAGAGCTCTAATATTGGTCTCCATTCCCCAGACTTCTTTTGAGTAAAAAGTAATAGAAATAGAAACCTGATCCCCTGTGTTGTTCTGGGACCGGTTCTATGGCTCCAAGATCTAGCAAATGTATCACCTCTTGATGCAAGAGACTCTCATGACAGGAGTCCCTGAAGAGAGACTGGATGAGAGGGTGGAAAGGGGGCTTGGAGAGGAAGGGAATGGTGGTGTATCCTGATAGGATGATGTCAAGCACTCATCTCTCTGTGGTGCTATCAGCCCATTGGTGATAGAACAGGCAGAGAGGATTTTGGAACATGCACATGGTCACTGGTAGCACTGAAACTTCAAGGAGGTCTTTGAAGCCCTCGACCAAGGCCTCAAATTTGCCTGTTGGCAGTTAAGGGGCCGAACCCAATGACTGTTAGCGATTCTGGGGCCAAGGTCAGTTTCTTCTTGGATTGGAATCCGAGCGTTGGTTGAGGTAAGCAGGGTAACGAGGTCTTGATAAGGTTGGTAGCAGTACTGCCTAAGTCTGTTAGTGGACGTATGGATGCCGAGGGTGAGGAGGGTGACACGCGAGTCCTTCACTGTATTAAGGACCTCATTGGTTTTCTTGGTAAAGAGATTTTACCCATCAAAAGGGCAAATCCTCAATGGTGGCTTGTATTTTACGAGGAAATGTGGCCAGGGAGAACCATGATGAGCTGTGCATCACAACCGCAGTGGTTCCAGCTGCTGTGTCTGTGGCATATAGCGTGGCCTGGAGAGCTGCCCGTGAAATAACGCATCCCTTAGCCACAATAGCTGTAAATTGGAGTCTCTTTGCCTCAGGGATGTTGTCCTCAAAGTCCAGCAGTTCAGAATAATTCCTAAAATCATATTTTGCCAGCATGGATGAGTAATTCGAGTTCTTAAACTGTAAAGTTGCCAAAGTATAGGTCTTTTGACTCAAGAGGTCTAATCTCTTGCTGTCCTTATCTAGTGGAGTGGTACAGATGCTGTTTGGCTCGATGTGCCACCTCCTCCACTAAAGAGTTCAGTGTTGGACGAGTGAATAAATACTCCAAACTCCTAGTGGGCACTTAATGCATGGTGTATAGGAAGTAGGCAGTTTGTAAGGGCTGGGTTGGGCGCTGTAGTGTCTAGTATAGAAACCCCAAGGGCTCCGGTAAGGCCATTGAGAAAGGTGTGGCACCGGTGGGGGCATCCAGTGGTGGCCATCCAATGGAGGGGGTGCGTATGGGTCATAACATGGCTTGTAGTAATGGCGTGGAGGGCTGCATTGTGGGGAAAAGAATGCCGGTATCCCATCATCTTTATCGCTGGAGAATTGCAATGGTACCGGAGCCAGTGTCTGAGGAATGGCTGGTTTCAGAAATGTATCTGTACCGAACATTGGTGACTGAGGTGCAGATACGACTGCCAGATCCACACTGTGCATATATGGAAGTGGCACTACCAGGATCAGTGCTGGAGTCTGCAGTGTCAGCTTGTACAGTGCCAACAGCATGCTCGGTGTGGATGGTAGTGATCGTCGATATGTTGGCAATACCGAATATATAGTTGGTGCCACAAGTCTGGTCGGTGCCAGCGATGCAAACAAGCAGGCTGGTGCCATCAGTATCGAGACAGATGCCGTTGGTGCCAACATGGCTGATGGTGTCATTTGTATAGAGGCTATGGGTGTTGCTATCAGTGCTGATACCTTGGTTTTCTCGGTCAGTGCTGAATTTGACATCCATGGTTTATCCAATGGTGCCAGGGTATTCATCAATACCGCAGAGGTTACCGGTACGACACTACAGCATTGTTTCAAGCCTTTGTGGTTAGAAGCGGCAATGACCGGTGGTGCCATGATACCTAGGTACTGGGGTGTAATACGTGCTGACGCAAGACCTGTGAGCCGATTGCCTGGAGGAGGACCATTTCTTACTGGCCCTCTCCTGCTGAGGCACTGAGGAACTTCTCCTCTTTGGTGCCATCATGCCATGAGGAAAGCCTGGAGGTGAATGTACCACCCTAGGTTGAACTCCCAGATCCGAGGCAGAATGTAGGCTCTTTTCCATTAAGATCAGCTTTAGTCAAAGATCTCTCTCTTTGCGTGTCCTGGCCTTAAGATTGGCACAGTGATGGCAACTCTGAGTTAAGTACTGTTCCCTGAGACATCTGACGCATTGCGTGTGACCATCTAAGATGGACATTGCCTCTCTGCAGGAGGCACGACATGTAAAGCCTGGCGAACCCGGCATGATGGAAAGTTTTTTGTTGTTTTTAACTATTAACAACAAACTCACTAAACAATACCAAGAAACTATAAACTATCTAAACTACTGCAGAATCATCAAAAAAGTAGGGAACTGTGGAGCTCTGTCTCAGGCCAAGGGCAGTTGAGAAGGAACAGGAGGGTGTGGGCACTGGTTGGTGCCATGCATGCATGGCCCCCACAGGGACCACTTCAAAATTTCCGATTCACATGCTGGAATGGCACCAAGACCCAGCATGGAGCATCCATGGGGACCTCACAAAGAAGAGCTAAAGTGTTCAGAAGAAACACTAGTAGCTCAACTATGATCATTTGACACAAATTAGAAGTTTTCAGTTCCAAATTCCAATGAGAACAGATATTCTGACAAAAACATGATATATATTTTACATATATATGTATGTGTGTATAAAATTCCTGTTAGAGACCTTGGTCATCTTCCAATTTAAAAGTAATACAAATATTATTCCAACAAATCAACCAAAAGCTTTCCATCAGACTTTACTATTCCATGTTTATTTAGCTACTCAATTAGTTCACCATCTCTTTGAAAGGGGCATCTACAAACAGCTTGGTGTTTAAAAACAATTTGCATAATTTTCAACAGCACCTAAATCATTTACAAGCTTGCAATAAGACTTCCTAAGTCCCTTTAACTTTTTTAGCCAGTATCAATCAAGTGTTTTTTGTATGGCTAACTTTTTATTGTTTTATACTGGGCTATTTAAGGAGCAATGCTATTTTGTTTGAACCTAAACAGCTGTTTCATATTTTTGTTTTACCCCCCCCCCCCCAACTATTTAGGATACAAAGAGGTTCCTTCAAAAGATTCCCAGTGGTTTCATGCATATAGACTAGCAATATAAACCAAATTAAATTACATCCATTGGATATAATTCTCCTTTTCTTCACACCCCAAGATATCTGTTCATGGCTCCCCCCACCAAAAAAATAGTCTGCAACAATCCTTCTTGCATAGCTTTCCAAGCTTCACTCTGCATTATTGACATGCCATACCTGAGCTGCCACATGTTAGTAGTGGTTTGTTAGTTGATTTGAGATGCCCAGGAGAGTTTAGTGCATTGCTACAGGAGCTTGTCTCTGTATTCAAGTTATGTGCACTTGGTGATGCCAGTGGACTGCAATACAGGTTTTTCCACTTACTGGCTAGAAGGAAAATACAAGAAAGCCATATATATTACCAAATTAGCTTTGAAAATGAATGAAATGAGGGAGAAAAAAAGGCAGTAATAAAACAGGAACAAGCATTATCAGCATTTAGAATCATTCATCATGAATGATTACTTCATCATAGTACGTGAAAAGCCACACAATATTTCTTCTCTTCTCTGCCACCTGCCCCCCCTTACCTTACTATCCAAAGAGCAGCTTCTTCACCAAGTCTGAGATTTTCCAATGATGAATGACTCAAGGTGGGCAAAGGGAAGAATCTCAGCCTTGGTCTCCTAAAAAGACTTTAAAATTTTGAAGCAGAACAATGAAAATGTGATGCAGAATTTAACTGATCTTGAAAATAACTTCACTGGTCTTTACACTCAGATATGCACATTCTTTTGGATTTTTATTCTTCATAATGACAAAGTATTAAACTATTTTGATATCAATTTGGCTCAAAACGTCAAACAAAGATGTCTGACATACCTATGTGCGAAATCAATAAACAGAATACTGAAGATTAAAAACAGATATATGATGCTCTATTCAAAATGGTTTGTCGGAAATACAAAACTTGATCAGCGAGAAGCTCACCAAAAGAGAGCACTTTAATGGATAAATCTGAATGAGAAATTGAATGGTTAATAGAATAAGAACACCTTCATCCATTATCTGGGTCACAGAAAGTTCACCAAAACAGATTCAGTTTTTAAACAAACCTACAACCTACATTCAGTTGTCACACACCATCCCTTTCTAAAGACAAAATCATTCTGATAATATATTTTGCTGAGCATACAGTTAACACAAATAAAAATACACCTTCCTATAAGGGCATAGGCCATTGATGGTCAACCTAAGCTAATGAGCAGGCAGCATGAGTGGCCCTCAGAAGGCTACAAGATTGTTGCAACCATGACAGAGTCCCAGGTTAAGGATGTTAAATTTAGACTAATCAGCTAATTGAATAGTTGATGTAATTTGCAACGACTATTCGATTAGTTGATAAGGGCACCTCCACCTTTGAAATGTAGCAAAGGCCAGCTCTTGCTACATTTCAAAGGCGGAAGCCCTGCAGGAAGCACGGCCGAGAGTGGGGAGGACAGGGGACTGTTTGAGTCCCCCACTGGCCCCGCGCTCGCAGCGGCGCTTTGCTTTTGAAATGTACAAGAGCCCTCTCAGGACACTTGTACATTTCAAAAGCAAGGAGGGCGGGGCCAGTGGGGGACTGAATCCCCAGTTTGCCCCAGGCTCCCCACAGCACTTCTGCATTTGAAATGTAGCAAGAGCCTTGCTACATTTCAAAGGCGGAAGCACCACCAGTTGCCCACTGCACCCTTGCCCCTTTTCCCCACAAAGACAGTGCTGGTGGGGGATCCCTTAGCCAGCTCCCCCCAGCACCAGCTCCTGCTTATCGGATCCTGCATTTGCTTATCGGATAGTCGACTAGTTGCTTACATCCCTATCCCAGGATAGGGTAGTTTTGCTAACTGCACTTTCATACCTAGAATTTGTGGGGTGTGCCAACTGACCATAGCAACAACACATACCTCACTTCATGTGCCCTTGTTTTACATGTGTATCAGTTTAATAATACTGGCAGGAAAAAAAACTGTGTGACTGGAAACTAACAGAATTACAACCCCGCACCTAAGCAATGGTAAACAAAATGTTGCAGGTTGCTCACCACTGACATAGGCCCACTATTTCATGGCTGAATCAAGGCAAATGTTACAGTTTTCACACAGAAGAGAATACCATCCAATTTAAAAGTAGACAGTAATGCTGGATTCATATGAAAATTATTAAGTGATTCATTCAACAGGACTATCAACACTATTTTGTGTTTCCAGGACTGTGGTGAACAGAGGTCAGGAAAATGATGGCTAAGGGCTCTACCAGGATATTCATTTGTACCCGAAACATCAATATTAGCTGGCATAAGGGATAAATACTAGCGATGTAAGTATCATATTAAAAGATAACCATTTAAACTATTAAAACGATAGTTTAACCACTTAAAGGGTCAGAGGCTTCAGGTACCTAGTTTGTCCTACTGTGGACTCCGCAGACGCTCCATGCCACCTCAGCAGCTTCTTCCCTTCATAGATCAGTGTGCTGTGTGCCTCCACAGCCACAAGGGAAACTGAGGGGCCACAGCCCCTGCTTCCCTAACCTAAATGAGTTTTCCCCCACCCAGCTGGCTGCCCCCTGTAAAGACCCTGGGGCCCAGAAACTAGGGCCAAAGACAGGAAAAATTATTCGTGGCCTGAATTCAGGCACTTATAGTTAGGGTGGATGGTGGGTTATCAATAAGACTAATATTTAACAATAAATTGCTTAATATTTTATCCCTAAGAAATACGGAAGTACAAATATACCAATGTTACACTAAAGGTCAACTGTGCATCTATTCTTTCAAAAAAATTGTGTATAGGATATTCACAACACTGAATGGTAAGTTCTCTCTCAAACTGCATTAAAAAAATTCTGAATTTAGAAACCAGCATGTGACCACAGAAAGAGAATGTTTCATAAGGTTTTGTGCTTCGGTTCCTTTCTGAGCCAGTTAACTATAAATTGTCAGTTAAAGCACGAAAGTAGAAACCTTTGCTGAAATACTTTAAGTGAAATAATCACCATGGAATTTATCTGGGTAATGTTAAAAATTTAATTTTTTCCTAGAAACTAGGCATACCGCAACTTACAAAGATGGAAGATCAGAAGTTTTCATGCAGTGCAACTAAGTTTTTAGCACTAACCATGACTAGAAATTAGGGATGTTAATTGAAAAAAATCAAATAACCTCATGAATTCTTATCGGTTAGTCAACTATTATATAGTACCTGGGGGTGGGGCCAGCAGACAGTGCACTCCGGTCTTACTCCTGGGGAACCTCCCTGCCATTCTGCACTGCTGTCTCTAATATAGAGGCAGTGGCGTGGGGTGCCAGGCGGGAGCTAGTTTAAAATCCAGCTCCCCTCGCAGACCAGCTGTCTGTTGCCCTATGCTGCTGCCTCTGATAAAGCAGTGCGGGGGTGGCAGCAGCCCCTGTCTAGGGGGGATCTGAGCTCCTAGACCTGGCACAAGCTAGAACTGAGCTGGGCTGCCCGCCCGCCTGGCTCCTAATACACTTTAAACGCAGCGCCATGGTGGGGGTAGGTCCTGGACCTGGCCTGAGCCAGGACTGAGCTAGGCAACTGGCCAGCCTGCTAAAAAATGTACTGGCAAGGGAGGGTGGAGGAAAATGAGTATAGTCTATAACATTAACCTGTAAGCTTTTGCTCATCAGTTAATCGACTACACTATTACATTCCTACTAGAAATAATGCATGAAAGAATCACTAAGGAGGAGGAGGATGAACAGAATTGCTAAGCATTTTTTCCATTGAGAGAAACTACAGAAGAGTTTTATTTTCTAAAAGTACTTTACTTTGATTGTATATTTTAATACAAACATTTAGAGTTATACCTTCCACATAAAAAAGCTTAAATTAACACTTTTGTAAATACAATACAGGCAGTCCCCGGGTTACGTACAAGATAGGGACTGTAGGTTTGTTCTTAAGTTGAATCTGTATGTAAGTCGGAACTGGCGTCAGCCGCTGCTGAAACTGATCAGTTTCAACCGC